GCTCCCCAGTCCATGGGTATCACGAACTGGGCTGGGTGAGGTGTACAGAGGCCATGAGTGACAGGAACAGGGACCACCAAAGACAGAGCAACACCCTCAACTCTCACAAAATGCTGATTTAGTATAAACACCTACCTTTGGAACCTAATCATGTTGATAAGTGAAAAGTGGGTGCAATAATAACAATAACAATTCACATGTCAATTCTTCATTTATCCCCATATCTCTTACCACATAGTAATTTAGGAAAGTATCCAAGTGAATTTTTACAAACAAGAAATCACAGTGCTTATTTTAATCCAACAAGGATTCACTAAGAATCTCATGATAATGAGCTTCATTAACTTTTAAAAATAAATAGTAGTCTGTTAGGTGAATTAACTAATATTATTGAAATAAATGTTAATTAATAAGTCAATAAACATTTGTTTATTGTTTATTGTTAGATATTAGGTGTCATGCAATGTAATGGGGATACAATGATTAATATAATTTGGTTTGTGTCCTTACGGAACTCACAATTTGCAGGAGAAGACATGTATATAAAAATAATTGTGTTTTAAAATGTTGCTAAGACCACAAGGGACATAGTGCATTAGGCAAATCTGCTGCACAAGACCTTTTTAAAGTGTTGAAGAGCAAAGATGTCAGCTTGAGGACTACGTTGTGCCTGACCCAAGCCATGGTATTTTCAATAACCTTATATGCATGTAAAAGTTGGATAGTGAATAAGGAAGATCATAGAAGAATTGATGTTTTTGAGCTATGGTGTTGGAGGAGAATATTGAAAGTGCCATGGGCTGCCAAAAGAACCAATAGATCCGTTTTGGAGGAAGTGCAGCCAGAGTGCTCCTTGGAGGCCAGGACGGCCAAACTTCGTCTCTCATACTTTGGACATATTGTCAGGAGGCACCAGTCGCTGGAGAAGGATATCATGTTTGGTAAGGTGGAGGGTCAGAGAAAAAGAGGAAGACCCCCAATGAGATGAATTGGCCAGGTAGCGGCATCAATGGACTCAAGTGTGGCAACAGTAATGAGGTTGGCCCAGGACCCAGCAGTGTTTTGGTCTGCTGTGCATAGGGTTGCTATGAGTTGGTACTGATGCGATGGCACCTAACAACAACAATAACAACAAGACCACATGAGAATGAGTAATTAATCATATCCAGTTGGAGGGTAATGGTGACCAGAAAAGGCTTTAGAAGGGATTTGATATTAGATCTTAGATTAAAGAATGAGCATCAATATTGTTTATCTGCATTTCACTGAGGTATTTGAGGACTCTTTCATGAGCTCTTTTTGCTACATTGATGAAAGAGATACATTACAAATGTCCACACATACAACTTTTGTTATTTATACCCAGACAAAGTCTAAGAAAAATTAAATGGTTATGTAATTTGTTGAACAAATTTGCCCAAAGAGTATAGATTAAAAAGTTAATGTCAACTCATTGTGAGACATGGCTTAACTTGTCTGCTCCCAGGATCTTGGTTGTGTTCTAGGAAATATTTTGATTAAGTATTTGAGAGGAATGGAAATAATGGTACATTGAGTTAGCCAAAGTTGTTATAATAATGCTTTAAAAATATCTTCTCAGACTACATATAATATAAAACAAAACATTTAAATTAAATAAGTGTACCATGGAAGAGGAAATTTTCATATACAGTTGTTAAGTGCCATTGCATTGGTTCTGACCCATAATGACCCTGTATAGGGTTTCCAAGGAACAGCTGGTGATCTTGAACAGCTGACCTTGTGCTTCAAATTGACCCTGCAGTCCAGTACCATCGAGTCAGTTTCAACTCATAGCAGCCCTATATACGATTTCTAAAACTATAAATCTTCATGGGAACATAAAGTCTCATCTTCCTCCTTCAAGTAACTGGTGAACTTAAATCACCAACTCTGTCCTTCACAGGCCAGTGCTTATCCTACAGAGCTACTGTGCTCCACATATATATAAGACACTTGACAGTCTTACTTGACTTTAGGTTCAACTAGAGATCCAATAGTTAATCAAACTACCATAAAATTATTAAGACTTAGGCTACATTAATTATTGAGTGCTTAAAATAAGCATTATGATAGATACAAAATCAATAGTGATAAACAAAAAGATTTGTCCTCATAGTGTTAAAAATTATATAATATAAAGGATTCACATATATCCAACTATAAACAAGCATAAAAGACAAGTTGCTATCAAGTTGACTTTGATTCATGGCTATGCCATGTGGGTCACAGTAGAACTGTGTCCCACAGGGTTTTCAATGGCTGATTTTTCAGAGATATATCACCAGACATTTCTTCCAAGGTGCTTTGAGTGGACTCAAACTGTCAACCTTTCGGTAAGCAGCTGAGCACATTAACCATCTGCACCACCCATGCACTGTGCACCCAATTACAAAGTCCTCTGGTGGAGGTTTGCAATAAGTTCTGTGAGAGTGAAAGAATAGGTTCTCGAGTCTTCCAGGGAAAGACAAGGAAGCATCATAAGAAAAAGTGATGCTTCAGTTGAAACTAGAAAGGTAAGAAGAAAGTTTTACATAGCTGCAGGAAGAGATTTCCATGCGAGAGAGCAGAATGGACAAATGCAAGGAGATGTGAGAACATGGTGAGTATAAGAAACAGCAAATATGTTGGTGTGACTCAAGCATTGGCTGTATAGGGGACTTGAAACTGAACCAAAACCAAAAGCAAACAAAACATAACAAAAACCAAGCACAGCATAAACAAAGGCCTTGTTATATATAAGGTTTGTATTTTAGTCTAGGGACAATAGAGAGTGACAGAAAATATTAAACAGGGTAATGACTTAATGAAGGAGCTCTGGTAGCGTAGTGGTTACGAATCGGGCTGCGAACCTCAAGGTCGGCACTTCGAAACTACCAGCGGTTCCACGGGAGAAAGATGAGGCGGTCTGCTCCTGTAAACATTTACAGCCTCGGAAACCCTGTGTAGGGTCGCTATAAGTCGGAACTGACTCCGCGGCACATAACAACAACAACAACAATGACTTAATGAGAGTTGTTCTCACAAGTATGACACACAAATTGAAGATAGATGTGAAGGTAACAAACTAGAGAAGTGGTTACTACAATATTCCAGGCCAGCAAAAATAGGCAGAACCTAAAGGAAGTTGTCATCAGGATGGAGAAGGTGACATTGAAGTAATGTTTAAGAGGAAGAATATTCAAGTTTGGGGGATGAATTGAAGGATTAGATCAGTTTTCAGGTTGTCCAAAAGGGTGGTGCCATTTACTGATATGGGGTAAGTACAAGAAAAGCACTTGAAATCTGTGTAAATTGTATAAGACTACACGGCATTTTTTAGTGTATCTAAGTACTCTGTAAAAGAAGCTCACTATGCCTGCATTTTATATAGAGATTATCTTTTCTTAAAGAAAGTATTTAAATATATTGGAATAAACTTTGAATAAGAGACAATTTATGTACAATTTCTACTGTCATGTAGTTTCATCTAGAGTATGAAAACAACAACAATTACATAAAAAAATACTTATTCTTTCATTTAATTTTAGCCATTAGAAAAATTTCAGGGGTCCAATTTTGAAGTTTAGTTATTGATGCAATGGTGAACTTTTCTGCTTATTTTTCACAGAATTGAATTTTATTAGTAACACCTGACTATTTCACTTGGACTTTTTTAACATATAAAATTTGAGCTTTAGGAATCTTAAGAGTCAAAAGTATGCGCTATGCAAAGCTAATCAAGGGAATCCGATTATAAGGCTAATAATGTTTAATGTCTAATCATATTCAGCCAAACAGATAATCTTTGACCCTGAGATCAAAATAAACTTTTTCTATATTGTGTCTTTCTGCTTAGCTCACAATTTCTTAGAAATGGAGATTTCCTCCAACAAACTGAAGTCTTCCCAGGTAAGTTGTTGTTAGGTGCCCTTGAGTCAGCACCTACCCATAGTGACCCCACTCATAACTAAACAAAACACTGGCCAGTCCTGCACCAGCCTCCCAACCTCTGTTAAGCCTGAGCTCATTGCTGTTACCACTGTACCAATCCATCTCATTAGGGGTCTTTGCTCTTTTGCTGATCCTTCACTTTACCAGGAATGGGCACATTCAGGACTACTCTTCTAAAATATTTGGTAATGGTTGGTTCACCTCCCTTGATTTTCTACTTCCCATTCTTTTGTTTTGCCAAAAAAAAAAAAAGGGGGGGGTACCTGCTTGACCTCACCACATTTCACCGTCCATCAAGACCTTTCTATTCAGAAATGCTTGGATTTGGTTTCTTCTTTAGCACCACTAACTGTTGAAGAGAGAGCGGGTAGGAACACAAAAGAGAAGCTGTGACTTGGTAAACCATCCTCTATAAAGTGGAAAGATATCAGCTCTGTATAGATATAAAGTATATCTCAGTTCAGTCCTGGTATTGCACTTGTAGGATAAACACTGGACCACAAGGTTGGTTTGAATCACAAGGTTGGAAGTTCAAACTTACCAGTCACTCACCTAAAACCCTATGCAGGGTCACTATGAGTCATAACCGACTTGATGGTACTTAAAACAACAGTTCCATTTAAAAAAAAAAAAGAAGAAGAAGAAAAAAGTTAGCATTCTTCCCCCAAAGTGTGAATCCAATAGTGAGGTTCGTTTTTTGTTTTTTTGTTTTTTTTTTTTACATTTTAGATTGTACAGCTGTTTGATCTTCAACAACTGGGACAAGGAAGGCGAAGAATGAGGCCACAGGAGGTTGCCTTTCTAAAGCTACGATACAAACAAATTCATTGCCATTGAATCTATTCCAACTCATAGTGACAGAGTAGAACTGCTCCACAGTTTTTGAGACTGTAATCTTTGCAAGAGCAGTTTCATGTTTCTCCCATGGAGTTGCTGATGGGTTCAAACTACCAACCTTATGATTAGCAGCTCAACATTTAACCCACTGATATAGGTCTTCATAATATGCAGAGACAGCCCCTAACCTGCTGGGGTTTGACTGACCATTGAAATCGTGGGCAGAAGAATAATGTGGGGAAATTGGACAATTGTCAGTGAATTCGTTCTTGTGAGCTTCTCAACTCTGTCCTCTGAGATACAGGCTTTACTCTTCCTCCTTTTTTTGGCCATTTACCTGGTTACCCTTATGGGAAATGTCCTCATTATCTTGGTCACTACAGCTGACTCTGCCCTACAAAATCCTATGTACTTCTTCCTCAGAAACTTGTCCTTCCTGGAGATAGGATTCAATTTGGTCATTGTGCCCAAGATGCTGGGGACACTGAATAAGCAGAACACAACTATCTCCTTCCTTGGCTGTGCCACTCAGATGTATTTCTTCTTCTTCTTTGGGGCTGCAGAGTGCTGCCTCCTGGCCACAATGGCATATGACCGCTATGTGGCCATCTGTGACCCTTTGCGCTACCCAGTCATCATGGACCACAGGGCCTGTTCCCAGCTGGCAGCTGCCTCTTGGTTCTCAGGTTTTCCAGTGGCCACTGTACAGACCACCTGGATTTTCAGCTTCCCATTCTGTGGTCCCAACAGGGTGAACCACTTCTTCTGTGACAGTCCCCCTGTCATTGCCTTGGTCTGTGCTGATACCTCTCTGTTTGAACTGGAGGCTTTGACAGCTACTGTTTTATTCATCCTCTTTCCATTTTTGCTGATCCTGGGGTCCTATGTCCCTATCCTCTCAACTATCTTCAGGATGCCTTCAGCTGAGGGAAAACGCAAAGCCTTCTCTACATGTTCCTCGCACCTCCTGGTTGTCTCCCTCTTCTACAGCACTGCCATCCTCACATACTTCCGACCTCGGTCTAGCACTTCTCCTGAGAGCAAGAAGCTGCTCTCACTCTCCTACACTGTAGTGACTCCCATGTTGAACCCCATAATCTACAGCTTAAGGAACAGTGAAGTAAAAGCTGCACTGAAGCGGGTCATCCATAGGACCCTGGGCCTCCAGAAACTAAGACTGACTTAGATGAAAAATGAAATAGCAGAATGCAAAGACAAAAGGAAAGTGAATTCCAAAATGAGTTTTGACCTCTATTCTTTCCAAGAACAACAGTATACATGATGAGATTTTGGACATTCTACTGGAATCAGTTTCTGAATGGTGGTTGTGATGGTGTGCCATGGAATCAGTTCTGACTCATAGTGACCCTATATGGGAGTTCCAAAGCTGTAAGTTTTTACAGGGACAGAAAGCCTAATCTTTCTGCCACGGACCAGCTGGTAGTTTTGAACTGCTGACTTTGAGGTTAGCAGTCCAACTTGTAGCCATTATGCTACCAGAACTAATAGGACATAAATGAGACTAGAAAGAACTGCAGTAGTCCCCGTCCCTCGTCTTCTGCGGGTCTGTGGTACCAGTGGCTCCAACGATGCTATTAGTTTTTACAGATTGGTAACTTCTCTGAAGGTTAATAGCTTCACTAAAATCTGCCATTTAAAAAATTCTTTAACTATTTTTTAATATAACTTCTCTATACCCTTTATTCTGTAATATTCTGCTTTATGTTTTCTATTTGTTCATATACCCTAAGCAAATTTATAGAATTTCCATTTATAAGATAATTAAAGTAATGATTTAAACAATACTCTTCACTTATAAATCTTTTTTTTTTTTTTTTTCAACAAGTACGTATTCAGCAATCAGTATGCTTCAGGCTCTGGTCTAGACCCTGAAGATATATTGTTGTTGTTTTAGGTACCATTGAGTCAGTTCTGACTCATAGCAACAGGACACACAACATGACACAACACTGCTGGGTCCTGTGGCTTCCTCACAAATGTTGTTATGTTTGAGTCCATTGGTGTTGCCACTGTGTTAATCCATCTCATTGGGAATCTTCTTCTTTTTCGTCGACCCTCTATTTTATCAAGCATGATGCCCTTCTCCAGAGCCTGTTCCCTCCTGACAACATGTCCAAAATATGAAAGACAAAGTGGCACCATACTCATTTCTAAGGAGCATTCTGACTATACTTCTTCCAAGACATCTTTGTTTATTCTTCTGGCAGTCCATGTATTTATGTTTTTCATCAACACCATAATCTCAATGCATCAATTCTTATCTGGTTTTCCTTATCAATTTCCAATTTTAACATGCATATGTTGTTGTTGTTAAGTGCAGTCCAGTCAGTTCAGACTCATAGATGTACAGTGTTTCCAAGGAGCAGCTGGTGGGTTTGACCTGTCAACCTTGAGATTGATTAGCAAACCAGTGCTTAGCTTATGATGTCATGGCTTAAGCCATCTGTACCTTAGTTCCTAAAGTGACATCTTTGCTCTTTTACACTTTTAAAAGTTCTTTTGTACCAGATTTGCATAATGCAGTATGCACCAGATTTGCATAATGATTTTTTTACTGTTATTTGCATGAACATTGATTGTGGATCCAAGCAAAATGAAGCATTTGATATCTTCAATCTTTTCTTCATCCATCATGATGTTATTTATTGATCCAGTTGTGAGGATTTTTGTTTTCTTTACACTGATGTTCATTAGTAAAGATATGTTGCACCCCTACAGCTTAGGAGGCCTCTAGTTCCCTGGATTCTTATGAACTGGCGACGGAGGAGATTTCCACGGTACTCCAGCTGACAGCAGAAATAGGTCTTCAGTACTCTTGTCCTGAAAACAGAAGCAAAATACAGACAGAAGCCTTCAAACACTGGAGAGAGTTTAGAATGAAGGTCTTGAAGACAACCAAAAGAGTCAGAAGCCTAACAGTAGAAAAGAAATTTCCCAGGCAAATTCCTTGGTACCAACCAGATTACTGTGTATAAATTGTCCCACCAGATCTGCTCCCCATCCTCCTTTCAGGACTTTCAGCAGTTCCTGGACCTGAGCTAGGCTTCCTCTCAGGACACACATCGTCTCAAAATTTAAAGGGACTGTTTCCACTTAAAAGCAAATGGCAGTGCAAAATGGTCACAGCCGGCCAAACTGTTTATCACTAGGAAAAAGGCCTGAATGGGGTTTGCAGAGCAGGAAAGGCAGAATAAAAAGGAAAAGGGCCAAAAATTAAATCCTGAGTTATGTCATAACAACCAACAACGGCATCTTGAAATTTCTCAGGAAGAAGATTAAAAAGGAAGTCCATCTCCTGATCACATCTACCTGGAGGCAATCAGAAAGCATAAAAAATACCAAAACACATACCCATCTAAGTATTAAGGCCACAGCTAACTACTGAATATGCCCAAAAAACAAAACAGATAACCATATCAGCACTAGTCTAGAAGTGAGATAAAGTGACTAGGACAAATTACTGTCTTAAATGGAGAGAAAAGTTAATTGACTATAAGGTAACCACAATGGTGGGGTCAGGGTGGGGGGCTGAGGGGAGGTGGAGGGAGGTGACAGTAGAACACAAGGTAGACCTTTACTCCATACTAGAAGGAGGGCAGGCTTTGGAAATTCCTGAGAAGGAATTCAGAAAAAATGATTGTAAAATGCATCAAAACACTTTACAATGGAGTTGAGAAAAATAAGGAAGAAGTTAGGAAAGTGGTACAGAAACAATCAAATAAGATAGATACAGCATTGAAAACAATTCAAAACCTACAGAAAGAGGTCCAAACAATTAATAATAGGATATCAGAAATGGACAACACACTGAAAGGGCAAAGGAGTAGAACTGAAGAGATGGAAGCCAAAACTAGAGAGCTGCAAGATATATCTCTCAATACTACTAAGGAGCTCTGGGAGCCTAGTGGTTATGAATC